TTTTTTTTTTTTCAGAACCAGGGATTGAACTCAAGCCTTTGTGCTTGCCAGGGAAGCACCTATTCTACTGAGCTATCGCCCCGGCCCCTGAAATTTTCTTAATGGTTTTCACACGTACAGTTCAAAGCTATAATAATCAATGGTAGATAGTTTTGAAGATTTTTCTAAGGATAAGTTGGTCACATAATAGAAAAGAAAATTAGCTTAAGACAGTGAAGGTCAGGCATGACAGATTTACAGAGAATATTCATGTTTTGGCCTGTAAAGAAACTTGGTATCTTAAAACTCCAGCACTGTAAATGTGTTGCTCCTTTTTCAGAATGCTGCCTTACGGTTGTCTCTCAATTGGTGACTGTGTAGGACTTATCGAGGTGGTGAGAAACTCTCACACTATCATGCAGATTCAATGCAAAGGTGGCCTGAAGGGTGCACTGCAGTTCAACAGCCACACGCTGCATCAGTGGCTCAAAGACAAGAACAAAGGAGAAATGTGAGTTCGCTAGTCTTTCTTCCTGTAAGTTTTGCTAGATGAGTCAAGATTATAGTTGAGTATAGGCCAGAAAAAGTAATTGTACTCACTTTGGAAAAAAAATCCTTAACTTCTGAAATGTTTGTGGTTATGTTTAAATGATCAGAAATGCTTAAATTTGATAAAAATTCTACACATTCAACTTACATATCTGCAGTGTTCTTATTGCTTATGTTTTAAAATGGGCTGGGGAGATAGCTCCATGGTGTAAGTGCCTGACTGGCATGTTTAAGATCCTGAGTTTGATCCCTGGTACTGCAATAAATAAATAAATAAATAAATAAATAAATAAATAAATAACTCAGTGGCATAAGCATCTGCCTGGTATTTGGAAGGTCCCGAGTTCGATCCCTGGTACTGCAGTAAATAAATTAATTAAATCATTAGGTTTTTTTTTTTTTTCAGTTCTGGAGATGGAACCCAGAGTCTTCCTCCTGAGCTATATCCACAGCCTTTTTTTATTTTGATACAGGATCTTGCTAAGTTACTAATTTGCCCAACTCTAGATCCTCCTGCCTCAGCCTCCTAGAGTGCTGAGATTATTGGTATTCATCACCATATCTAGTTTTAATGATCCAAATTTTTTTTCCACTATGATGGCAATTATTGCTTTGGTCAAAGAATGTCTGGAAATTTCCTTAGAAGCCCTTGATAATTTAAGAATCTCAAAATTCCTCAGATTTTTTAACTTAATTACTTCCTTCTCTGTTGTAATTATTTTCATTGTTTTATTTATTTATTTTTTTTCATTGTTTTAATAGAAACTTCAACCATCTTTTTCCCAGTTGGTCCAACATCACTTTGTATTTCCATACTACTGCTGAGGTGTTTATTTCTTCATTGTAGATATGATGCAGCAATTGACCTGTTTACACGTTCCTGTGCTGGATATTGTGTGGCTACCTTCATTTTGGGAATTGGAGACCGGCACAATAGTAACATCATGGTGAAAGACGATGGACAAGTAATGACTTTCTCTTTTTAGAATGTTTTGGTGTTCCTAAATTTATTCAAGGAATTTTATGTGTGCTTGTATCAAACCATAACATATTTTCTTATTTTTAAAAGCTGTTTCATATAGATTTTGGACACTTTTTGGATCACAAGAAGAAAAAATTTGGTTATAAACGAGAACGTGTGCCATTTGTTTTGACACAAGATTTCTTAATAGTGATAAGTAAAGGGGCCCAAGAATGTACAAAGACCAGAGAATTTGAAAGGTAAGCTCAACAAATCAAAATATAAAATAAAAGAGTTCTTGCTGTAATGTCAGAAACAATTGATACTGTTCAAGTAGCTTAAAATAATAGATGTTGCCAGGGATATAGCTCAGCAGCACGAGTGCCTGCCTGGCAAGCACAAAGTCCTGGGTTGTATTCCTGGTTTAAAAAAGTTTTGTTTTTTTTTTTTGTTTTTTTTTTTTTTTTTCAAATAGTAATAATAGGTAGTATTTAGCAGAATGTATTTTAGTTTTTGTATTTAATTATTTTAAGGAAAATGGAAATAAAGGCTAATAATTGAGTTAACAATCGAGGCCTAAAAAGTAGTCCTTAAACTTAGTAACACTTAAAAAGCTTTTTATTTACTGCTCTTTAAGTAACTAGACTCTGCCTTCTGTCTTCACGCATAATGTAGAATGCTTAAAACAACACTTTATAGTCATTTAATTTGAAGAAAAGCAACCAACTATAATTACCATGCTTATTCATAATTTGTCTTACTACTTTATAATATGTCATTGATATATCTTAAACCTTGAATTATTTCCATAAAATTCTGTTCTATCTACAATTCAGTCTTCTGTCTATAGCTGAAACCCTAAGGCTTTAATGTGGACCATGCCATATATTTAACAAATACTTATTAAATTCCTAATGTGTCAGGCATGTGCTTGTGATAAAGCAGTAAACGAAGATTTTTCATGGAGCTTGCATTTGGGTGGGGTCAGGGAAATAGAGAACCATTGGCTAGGGAAATGGGGAGATAATAGTGATATTTTTTCAATCGCTTTCTCCAAGTAAGCCTCTGAGTTGTGTGACATTCAGGCAGAAGCCTGAAGGTGCCTGTCAGTGCCATTTGCTCCGTACTGACCGAACTGTTCTTGCTACTTGTAGGTTTCAGGAGATGTGTTACAAGGCCTATCTAGCTATTCGGCAGCATGCCAATCTCTTCATAAATCTTTTCTCAATGATGCTTGGCTCTGGAATGCCAGAACTACAATCTTTTGATGACATTGCATATATTCGAAAGACCTTAGCCTTAGATAAAACTGAGCAAGAGGCTCTGGAATATTTCATGAAACAAATGAATGATGCACATCATGGTGGCTGGACAACAAAAATGGATTGGATCTTCCACACAATTAAGCAGCATGCATTGAACTGAGATAAATGAGAAACTGAAAGCCCAGTCTCTGGATTCTACACTGCACTGTTAATAACTGACAGCAGGCAAAGACTTGATTGCATAGGAATTGCACAATCCATGAACAGCATTAGAACTTACAGCAAGAAACAGAAATAAAATACTATATAATTTAAATAATGTAAATGCAAACAGGGTTTGATAGCACTAAACTAATTCATTTCAAAGTTAAGCTTTAGAATAATGCGCAATTTCATGTTATGCCTTAAGTCCAAAAAAAAGGTAAACTTTGAAGATTGTTTGTATCTTTTTTTAAAAAAAAACGAAACAAAACAAAAATCCCCAAAACATAGAGAAATGATGGAAAAGGAAGAAGAATGATGTTCTGTGTGTCCTGCAAATGTTCTGTGTTTTGAAATGTGGATATGACAAAGGCTGTTACCGCATTAGGGTTAAGTAAATGAGTTGATGTTAAATTACCGAAGATTGGAAAAGAATGAAAAGTTTTTATTTTCCCATTGCTGTTCAATTTACAGTTTGAAGTGGGGTTTTTTTGACTCCTTGTTTAATGAAGAAAATGCTTGGGGTGGAAGGGACTCTTGAGATTTCACCAGAGACTTTTTCTTTTTAATAAATCAAATCTTTTGATTATATGGGGTCTTATCTGCAAATTTTAGAAGCAGTCACAAATGAGACCTGTTATAACATGGTGTTTTTGTTGGATTTTTTTTTTGTTGGTTTGTTGCTGTTATTGTTTTCTGACAGTATTGACAAGATCTGACTCTTACTTTCAAGGGAAATTCTGGGCTCCCACAAACTAAAGTAATCATCTTAGAAAAAAGAATGAGCAGGAATAGTTCTTGTTCCAGAATTGTACAGTATTCACCTTCAGTTGATTTTTTTTTTCTCCTTTCACAATTGAACTGAATACATTTTTTCATGCATGTTTTCCAGAAAATAGAAGTATTAATGTTATTAAAAAGATTATTTTTTTTATTAAAGGCTATTTATATTATAGAAACTATCATTAATATATATTCTTTATTTACATAATCTGTCCCATAGTCATGCATTGTTTTGCACCCAAATTTTTGCTCTTTGTAGCCGCATGCTGAGCTTTTCTCATCTGCAGCTGAGGCTCGAGCACTGTCCCGTGTGTACCAGGGCCGCTGTAACCATGTACAGAAAGCATACTGAACTTTGGCCTCTTTTCCTTTCAGTTTTCACATGATTCCCTTATCTTCCATCCTCTTTAGTTGGAAGGGCTCAATCATGTGAAATTAGTTACCGAATTATACAATTTAGACTATCATCCTGACTGCTTAAAGCCCTCTGCCAAGTTCTGCTCATGATAGTACTTTATAATATTGAATAGAAATCATGAACTTTTGACTTTTTAAAGCTATTTATCCATATTTCAATATTAAAAGGAAATTAAATCATTTTCAGATTGTACCCATTTCCCACGTGTTCAGGTCTCATTCCAACTTCATGAAATCCCACTTGAGCACAGAACACATTAAGTATTTTGAAAACTATTCACCTAGGTGTAGGAGCTAAGGCTAGTCCTCACTGTAGGGTCTGATGTTTTATTCTGTATTTGACATGAATGACTCACGTTCTAACAAGTAGCTTTAGCAAATTCCCAGGTGCCACACCAAAAAAGAAAAAAAGTGCAATAATTTAGTGACAGTTTTCTAGATTAGGCATATTATTGGAGAAAAATCTTAGAGTGCACATTGTGTAATCTAGTAAGACAGCATCACTTTAAAAATCATCTGTGAAATCCAACATCTATAGAAGTCTTGAATAGGGAACAAGGGACTCTAATGCAACTACTATCTGGCTCTTTTAGAACCTTTAAAGGGCATAATTAATGAAGATTTAGATACTTCACTAAAGCATGTATATAATACCAACATGAAAAAAAATTTTGAAGATTCGGGGAACTTATTTCTGTAAACTGTCTTGAAATAGTTACGCAGAATTTAATCTCTTTAAGTTTGAAACCAGATAGATTCTTTTGCAAATAGAGATTTCATTATTTAAACAATTAACATTTTGTGTTATTTAGATATGTGCAGTATACTAATATTCCAGCCTTTTCTGTATCAGGGATTGATTATGAGAAAACTCAGTGAAATGGTACAAATCTAAATCTTTGATGGTGGAAATTGAAGAATTAACAGAGAACTGTATTTTACTCAAATGCTAAAAAGCCTTGAGCCTCCATGCCCAAAATCTGTACTTCTATTTTTATTTCACATTAGTTCATGTGGCCACCTTTTATTCCCCTAGGACCTCGTCACCATTAAAGCACACAAGCTACATAGCTTATTTCATTACATACGTTTATTTTTAAGTTATTACAAGCAAATTAATTTGATTTGGAGAAGTATAGGTAAGTTCTGTAAAGAATACAGACTAAGTACCCTAAGACACAGAGGAGGCCAGGTAATGTTCAGGAAGGCAAAGACCAAAAACTGAATGGAAAGCTACATGGGTGACTAAGATCTCTTTCAAGTATGTTATGATACAGCCTCTTCCAGGTACTTGAGTATCAGGGGCAGTTGCTGTAGCTGACCGTGTTTGTCATCAACAATGCTGTAATTGACTATTGACTCTACAGTTTCATTACTTGAGAATTATTCCTTCCTTAATTAGTTTGGAGGGAAAACTCATATCTAAAGAAAAAAGCCTAGCTTTAAATACAGTGTAGCAAGAAATAGTCCACTGTTTGAAAATCACACTTTTTACCGTATTCTCAGCTATACAAAAACATTTATTTTGAATATTTTTAAACTGCTGTTAATTTGAATGTTAATATTATTGTGGAATTTGATTTTTTTAAAAAAGATGTTTCTAATTGGATTTTTTAAAAGAAGAATGGAATTTGGTTGCTATTTTATGATAGAACCTAAGCCTTTTCTGGTTCTGAATGTCCTGTGTAAAACTTAGTGCCAGAGTAATTAAGGTTTTCCCTTTATTCTACTTTATATTACGATCCCATTAGGAAATGGGAAACTGGTGAATATATAATCAATTGTAACATATTTTAATGTGTAACTTTCAACTGTGAAATTATGACTATTGGTATTTTGATGAAAACAGCTGCTGATAAAGTATTTTGTGTAAAGTGTAGTGCTTATTAATCAGGAAATGATGGTTTGATTAGACTGTGTATACTCTCTTGTATTTTATTTTAAATGGGTGGATTTTTGCATAGAGTGAAACACAGTCCATCTGTGTTCTTTTTCCATCAAAATATGACTGATTGGGCATTATTTTTTTAAATTCTGAGTAGCCTGTCTTAAAGGCATAATGGAAATTTCACAGCACATAAACTTGGATTTGTTTGGGTTTTTTTACATAATGATTTTGTAAATCCATTTCAGTCATGTTTCAGTCAGTAGCTCATGCTTGCCAACTCTTAGAAGAAATTTAATTTCCAGCAGTACGTTCAAGCTAGTGTGTTAACTTTTTCTAAATAATTATAAGTTCCTTTTCTGTGTCTGTACAAACTGTAAACCTGGGCTGGACCCACAAACTTGAAGTCCACCTTAAAAAATTACCTTGATGTCTAAGGTATCACTAAAATAATTCCGTTTTAAAACAGTGTATGGTGTTAATCGATGGTGGTGCTTCTATTTAAGACAATTTTCATACTTCAGACGTTTTTGAGATTAAGGAGTGTGACGGGAGGAGACAGAACAGGGAGGAGTTGTTTAAATAAATTGCATTCTTTATATCCATCCTTCTGAGAGGGGGCGTGTCTAACAGAAGACAGAAGGCTGAAAACTGGGAAAATATATTGTGCATACCATGAGGAAATTAGCTCTTCATTGAGGATGGGTTGTGAAGGCTGAGCTGTCATACTCAGTGCCAACAGCATCCTCAAATAATCATTCTTGCTGAAAGAATATTACAGCTGGGCTGTTTTTATGAAGTACAAACAACCATTTTAATTAATACATTAAAATTGTAAATATATCTTATGTGCCATGGTCTGGGAAGGTGGTTTTCTTTTGTCATAAAAATTATTTCCACTCTCTGAAAAGACTACTAGAATTTTAAGTCAAGGTAAATATGGTCCCAATAAAATTGGATTTGGTAAATGTGCCTCAGAAGATTAGGGGAGGAAAAATAGATGAGTTAACATTCAGTACTTCAGGCTCTTACATTGCGGAAATTTTTCAGAGCACTTTATTTTGGATTTACAAAATCAGTTGGAATGTCTTTTTAATGGTGCTGGAGATATTAATAAAATGTTTTGACTAAAATTTAATCATTTTTGCTAGAACCCTTTGGAAAAGGTGGTAGTGTAGTGTGAGGAAGTTCAAAGCACTAGGTTCTCAGATTTGGCATTTATGGTCCATTTTGTTCTTTATTAGTGTTTACTATTAATGTGTTTTGTGTGCGCTTCTGCATACATTTCTGTTTGTGCACACACTGCAAGCTCTAGTCAAGAGGAATCTTCTATAAAAGGTGTAAACAAATATCAAAGTTCTAAAATTTAGAAGAGTTTAGAATTCATCCAGAGTCTCCCAAGTTGGGATGTTAAAGTCTTCAAATAAACTTATTTATTTCATTCAAGTGTTCCACTTGATTACAAGTTTTGCACTTCCTTTTAATTAGTGCAGCACTGTTCCATTTGTTTAGTTTTAGGTGTGGTAATAGTCTAGCCACATTAGTGAGCAGAAAGTGGCACTGTGAGCCATAAGGTTATTTTCTGACTTGTAATTTTTACACAGCTACGTATACGAGTTTTAGTGGGGGAGGGGAAGTAAAATTAGTTCAGTGTATGTATAGTATAGTATAGTTCAGTGTAACTGAATTTTCACTGACAACAGAATCCATTCTTTATGTTGGTAAGTACAGAAAATGGTTTTAAATACATGCTGTAAGCCAAGTGAAGTTCAATCTGCAGCTTCATTTAATATGTCACTGCAATAATTTTGTGACAAAACCATGTATATTTTCAGTTACTCTTATTTTTGTTGATCCTTCTAGGTTAGCACGGACACAAAATCCCTTTAGTGTTCAACATTAAAATATCTTTGATATAACTAAACTCCTTAATTCTTGTATGAATTTCTAAGTGTGGTCATCATCTACTGATTTTATTTTTTAAAAGTTCCTTACCAGATTTATGTTCTGAGAGTAGATGGAGAACTTGACATTTATCAGATTTCTAGAAATTTTGGGGGGTATGGAGCTCACTTTTTGTATGTATTTAACGGTTTCAGTATGACTCAGTCTTCAGACTTAATTTGATTAAATAAAATCCAAAAGAAATAACCTTTTGAGACCTAAACCTTCACCCCCTGGGGAATGTAATGCTACCAAAAGACTGTTGGCATATCAGTTGTTTACTTTAGAAGCTTCAACAAGGGGCCCTAGCCACCCTCTTCTTTGGCCCCATTAATTGTAGTAAGTCTGTTTCTCTATATTCTGTTCATTGAAGTCCTGTGGTATCATGCATTAGTTAAGAAAAAAAAGAGTTTTTGCTATCCTCCTTATGGTGGCCCAGAAGTATCTGACACAGCAAGATGCATGTGTTACTATACTGAGAATATAGAATAGCACTAAATTTAAGACCTCTTCCCAGTCTTGCTCTTCCTAGCAAGAAGTTTGGCCTGTGACTGCACTTATTGTTTGTTTGTGCTCATTAGAACCTGTCAATGTCTGCTTTTCTTTAACTTTGCAGTCTGTAACATCACACTGTTTATTAAAAAAAAAAAAAAAAAAAAAAATTTACCTTGACTTGTGTCCAAACAATCCTTAGTGTATTATGTAAAAAAAAAAAGCTGTGATAACTCTATTTTGCCATGTCTCAAGAAGCAAACTAATATTGCTAATAATCAAAATGTAGCTGACCCCCGAGCATGCTGAGTCTGGGCGTGGTGGTGCACGCCTGTAATCCCAGCACTGGGGAGGCTGAAAACAGGATCACTACGAGTCCAAGCTGTGTAGTGAGACCCTGTACCAAATACATAAAAAATAAAAATTAAAAAACATGTAGCTGATTTGAATTCTTTTTAATAATGACAAAGAATACTTATTTGAAGACCTGAAACAATTATGTGTTAAAAGCCCTGGTAAAGTGATGAGACTATTAGAGAAATATATGTTTACATACTAAATTCCTTGTATTTTAAGCAGACATACATAAATGTAAGTATGAATGTACTTATGCATACAAGTATATAGTCTTTTTTCAAGTCAGATGAAGGCTAAAGCCTAAAAATGAAGTTAGGCTCGATGTAAATTTTTGCTTTCAGTCATCATTAAACCTTGCTAAAGGTAAGTCTGGACCTTACTTTGACCAGTAACACACATCAGCTTTGATACTTCTAAGCATTTAAGGATATCATTGGTTAATTTTTATTGACATGGCAAATGAATGAACTTAAATTGACATTGTTCTCCGGGTATAATTTCTTTCCTATGATGGACGAAGTATCTGAATGATGGACGAAGTATCTGAATAGAAAACTGAAAGTAATTTCAGCATGTACTTCAGCTTGCATTTGTTAAGAGAAAAATCATATTGCTAAATATACTAAGAAATAGAGCTGCACCCTTAATTTAAGAACCTACACAATCTCCACTTACAGAATGATTTAGAATGTACAGTCTTTAGCATACAAAATAATTGATTACAACATTGGAGCAGCAAATTCTGCACCACAAGTGTGTGTCACATTTAGCCAAGAGAATGAATGGGGGCAAGGGCAGAGTGCTCTTCAGCACCCTGTCCCAGCCCGCCTACCTGCTGTTTCCTGTGGAACGCTTCAGAGCTGACTGTTGCAGCTCTGCACAAGTTGTTTTTTTAGCTCCTAGTATTTTTGAGCAACTTGATATCAGAAACTTGAGTGTTTCATTTACCCCACCTTGTGCTCTAAAATAATAAGAGACTATCCCCATGGCATAGATAAGAAGAGAGAGGTTTTGACAGCTGATTTGCTTAAGGATGTATGTCTGAACACCTGTAACTGTAGCCTACAAATTAAAATGAATCTACTCTGAGATGTGTTCTTTGAACACTAAAAAAGAGTGTGAAACCAATATTGTTTATAACTGGTTGGTAGCATTCTATTCAATGTCAGTTTACTAATTTGTGGCTTGAAATTAATTACTAAAGGACATTAAGCTGACTTAGAATCAAAGCATATCGTTTAACTATGTCTTCTTCAAAAGTCATTCCAATATCCAAGTTTTTCTGGTTTTTGGTTTTTAGTATCAGAAATAAACCCAGGACCTTTGTACTGAGCTCCATCCCCAGCTGGCGTGCACGTGTGTATTACATGAAAGAGAGTCTTGCAGAGTTGACTCAAACTCGTGATTCTCCTACCTTAAGCTCCCAGAGTGCTGGGATTACGCACATATGCACCACTGTGCTCAGCTTTTTAGTGAAAATTTAGACACTGAGGTATGTTGGAAAATGAGAACAGACTCAATTCCTATTTTCAGCTTGCTTAAGTTGAAAAGTACTTGTTGGGTCTGTAATGTAGATTCTCTGAAGTACATGTTGAAATCTAGTCCTGCTTTTCCTTCATGTTTCTACTCCTACCAGAAGGTGCACAGAATGCAGTGAGCATATGAAAAGCCTACTTAATGAGGAAAAAAAAAAGATGACAAGGCCCTTGGCAAAGCTAAGTACAAATAACAAGTTTACTGAATTTGTTAAGCAGCAGCTTTCCTCTTTTATCATGAATGGTGAAGAAAGAACAAACTAACAAATGTGGTAGGTCCACATTTTCTTAAATGTTCTGATTGTTATGTTCTTGTAATAACTGTTCTTTACTAAGGATTTGCTTCATGAGACATGTCCACTGCCTAAAGTTAGGCTGATAGTTGAGTGCTCAGCAGAGTAGACACCTTCATTATCATTGGTTTTCCTACTGACACGTTTCAGCTACAGCTGCAGTTAGGTTGGCAGCTACCTTGAACTTACTTTGCCTGTAGGGTGGCTCAAGTTGAAACTGGAGGTGCTAAGAGATAGCCCAGTAGTCTAAGGACCTGACTGGCAAGCACAAGGACCTGGGTTCGATCTCTAGTACCACATGCCATGTCAGCCCCAGATTTCCTGGCATGCTGTGCCGGCCACCAAAACTAGGCATGGTGGTAGATGCCTGTCATCCCAGCAGTAGGGAGGCTGAGACAGGAGGGTCACCTCGAGTCTGAGCTGTGTAATGAGACCCTGTGCCAAATCAAAGATTCTTTTTAATTTAAAAAACTTGGAGTAGAAAAGATGGTACATGACTTTGTACATATTTACAGAATACAGAAAGAGGCTTTTAAAAAATGTTTCCCAGGGCCAGGGCTATAGCTCTGACACAGCACCTGCCTGGCAAGCACAAGGTTCTGAGTTTAATTCCTGGTACCAAAAATAAAATAGAAAAGATTTCTGTATGATAATAACTTTACTTTTTTATGGCTAGTTTGCAAGCAGGCTTAATTAGGTCTTCCCCTGCAGAAATTAGTGTTTGAGACCAGCCCTTTAACTTGGCCATTATCTAAAGATTTCTGTTTCTTCCTTTGCTCTTACGCACACGCCACAGTTTGTACTGATGCTGTCCTGTACTGGGTACTTTGCCACCTGCTTCTTTGATTGTGGTGCTGTATTTTTCACAGAGCAAGGACAAATGCTGTGTTAGTCTTACCATGCCAACAATCAGGGCACCACCTAGCAGCGTCAGTGAAGGCCAAAATAAACAGTGAAAGATAACCATTTGATCATATTTTTTTATAAGAATGACACCTTCAGATTGACCGTCTGGACTGTAGAAACATGAGAAAGAAGTTCCATTTTTGTGATCGAAGAATTCCTTTATGTCCAGAACACTGTTGAGTAAATCATTCCTATGTTGGTGGCACTTAGGTGTGTAAAAGCACTAGGAATATGAAGGAGGAAAGAAATGAGGGTGTTGTCACCAATATCAAGCACTTCACAGTTTAATTCTGAAATACCTCAGCCTCAACCTAGCAGACGGAAACTTCAGTCTTGGGACGTCAAATATTTCATAGGAAATGAGGCAGATTGGCAGGAGGGCATAGAGCAAACTGGCCACTTCTTGGTATGAGCTAAAAGCTGGAGGTTTATTACCATGTCCAGTAAGTACTTGGGGAACAGTGTTAAAGTGCTGCAGAAATATTGGAGGCCTTAAACCTCCTTGCATCCAAAACAAAACAAATCATCATACTGAAATTAGAAGACACCAAAGTGCAATGTCATCTAATCTAACACAACTTTTATGGTTAACTATAAATCTTGCAAGTTGGGTTACTTATAAAATCAAAATACAATAATAATTTAAATTTATTTTAAATTGTTTGATTGAATGTAGCCTGTTGAGTATATTTTTTAACATGTTTGAAGTACTAGGTAGTGGAACCCCTGAAATGAAGGCTGTGCCCTAAGAGCTGTGCCCATTCCCTCAACCTACAATTTTCAGACACCAAATTGTGAAACCAGAGTAATGCCTTTCCTTCCTGCATGGCTCAGTGCCCCCTAAGAATACTTTCACCTTTCTTTGTCATGACTTGACTTATAAAGATACTAAACAAAAGCATTGATCCTTACAGATGTCCTTGAGTTCTGCGCCCTTCTGGGAAGTCTGCCACAGAAGGGTTGCTGCAGGAAAAAACTTTTAATTACATGTATTTAAATTACCTTGGAATTTCGCTGGACGGCCTCTTCATTATAGTACAGGAGAGCTTCCTGACCTGAGTGAGAGAGGTGCACAAGCACCTGAAGACACGGGTACTTCCCCTGGCTGTGGCAGTCCACGCCACAGGTGAAAGCACAGTCCAGCCAGTCGTCCACGATGTGTGTGTGGATGCTTGTGCAGTTCGATTCTTCTCTCTGCGTGCTACAGTGTGGAAAAGTGCATGTTCTTCAGCTGCTAGAGAATTGGGTTCTGTAGTCCTAATGTCGTAGCCCACACCTTTCTCTGTTTCAAGATAGTGATTCAGAACCATTCATTAATAGAAGTCACATGATCTGGGAGTGTGGATGACAGAGATGGGATAAACAGCAGTAGGCTGCCATGTCCCATCATAATTCTGATTCTACTGGCATATTGCTCACTATACCAACTCTGATTGCCTCAGATCCATGGTATTCAGATTTTAGAACCATCTGAAGGAGTTTATCAGGAAAACTTACTAAATGTGGTCCCACAGCTTCACTTGCAGAGATTCCGGCTCAGTGGGTAAGTTGAGGCCCAAAACTCTGTATTCAATAGTACAGATACCTGGAGAACATGCTAAGTGATGCCACCCTAAGTACTGTATCTCTTAAGTTCACACTCAGAAATCTCATTGCCTCATGTTTCATCGCTTCAAGATGCACCTTAGCCTTTCAGAGGAATTGGTGCAGCCTGCAAGGGTTCTGGTAACTAGGTACAATTCCTTGTGTACACACACGCCACTCCTCCAAAATAAAATGCAAGCACTTAGTAAATCCCTGTAAGAATACTTACATGTTTGCTACCTATAAATTCCTCAAAGTCAGGAGCTACATCATATTCACCTTTATGTTCCTCAGAACATAGGCACAACTCGTAAGTATTGTAATGAATTAAACTTTGCTAAGAAAACAGTATTTGAGAATTTGCAAGTGTACTGCACATGCAGAATGTATATGGAAGAGGGAGACAAAATTCTTGCCATGCAAACTTTGTGATGCTTTGAAGAAAGGACCTGTACAAATGGAATAACTAGAAAACAAGTCCAAGACAAAGTAAAGGTGAGAAGAAATCCCGAGATCAAATTTTCGAGACCAGCTCCATCTGTCTCACACTCTCATCTCCATAGGTGTGTATTTCCTCTTGCCTTAACTTTAGCAAGCTTTAAAGTCAGAATCTTGAAGATCATTGCTTACCTAGGTTCATACCCTCCTCATTAATATCATGGACCACAAATAATTTTTCTTCATGAATAAACTAGACTTTTAACCTTACTTCAAGGCCTGGGACAGAGAGATTACAGAGGTGGAGCTTGAGCTTTGGGCATGGGAACAGTGTCAAGAGTGTTGCAGTGTGCGGATGGAGAGACTCAACCCAGTGTTTCTGGCTTCAATGGAGGACCTCAGACCACAGGAGCCCAGGCACACAGGCAGCATCTGACATCTCAAAATGGAGAGGACATACACCCTGCCAGGAATTCTTCCCAGAAGCAGATTTCTCCTCTAGAAAGGAATGCCTCTGGGATCCTCATAGTGGTCCTGGGTACTATGGAATATTAACATTTTCCCCCAATGGTAAATCAGGAATGGTAGGAAATGAATCCGAAAAATAACAAAAAATCAGGGCATGCTTGGCATATCCCTGTAATCCCAGCACTCAGGAGTCTGAGGCAGGATGATCATCATGAGCTTTAGGTCAGCAGAGGCTACATGGTTCAAAGCCAGCTGAACTACATGATAAGACCCTGTCTCAAAAAGGAGTAAGGAAAGGAAAAATAAGAAAAAGACCACTTCCTTTTTATGGCCTTTCTCTCTGGGAAGTTGACGTCTGAAAGCAAGAATTTATGAACTACATGGTTATCTAAGTTGTGGGTTATGTGTTGAGATGAATGTGGATTAGATTAGAGGGCAAGGAGTAAAGAAATGGCTTCCACTTTCTTACCACTTCATTCTCCATCTCCAGCTGCTTGCCATCCTGGACAGAGGAACAAGCCATTGCATTTTCCTAACCCAGACCCTGGCAGGAGAGCCAACCCTGGAGAAACCAAAAGGAGTCTCCCCTCCTTTATCAGTGGGCCTAGCTTGGGTCCTCTGGAATCGGAAGCTCTGGACCTTGAGTCTCTGCTTCTTACCTGAGCATGAAAGGCTTTAGGATCTTTGTTCCAAGCAAGAAGAACATTAGGATGGAGAAACCTATCATCACAAACCCGAGCAACACAGCTCTGTCCTCTCCGGCGCTGGACGGCAGCTGCCTGTGCACATCTGGTGGGTCTGCATCGAGGTAGTCCCTAGGCCTCTTCTTCCCAGGAACAGAAAAGGCCGTCCTGGGGAAGGGAGGAGATGGCACAGTGAGCTCATAGAGAAGTGGCCACAGGGCCTCGTGCAGCGCTGCATGCCTGTTATCCCTCCCAGCCCTCTGCCAGGTGGAGGCAGAAGGATGCCAAGTTCAAAACCAGCCTAAGTAACATAGCAACAGCCTCTCCCAAACAATGAAAAGCTGATGTTGTAATTTGAGGCCTTAGATTTATTCTCCGGTACCACAAAAAATAAAATAGCAACATTTGTCAATGCAAGGGACCAAAAAAGACCAAAAAATTGTGTTTCCTGCCCTCCCGAAGATGGTGAACAAGTTCAGTGCAACACATGAGGATCCCAGCTGCAGAACCTTTTGAAAAATTAAGTTAAAGCAATGCATTCTCAAATATTTTTGAAAGATAGTGTAACAAGACTGAGGAATATTGCTTGGTGGAAGTCTCTAGAAATTTGTTTAATCAAAAACCAAGAGGAAAAAAAAATCTGTAAGTCGCTTTCATTTCTTTTATGTAAATAAGCATTAAAAACTGATATTTCAGGGATATTGTTCTTCTTTCTAAAAATATTTCCTACACTCCTGTGAATTCCATCTGGGAAAAAGGAAAAGTGTCACATTTGGAGTGGGCGCATCCTGACGAAGGAGGGTCAGTCTTGTTCTTCCACACCGACTAGCAAGGCAGCATGTCCACCTCAGGATTTCTTTTTTTTGTTTGTTTTTTTTTTTTGTTTGTTTGTTTGTTTTGTTTTGTTTTGTTTTTACATTATTTATTTGGTACAAGACTCGCTCAGACTCGTAGTGACCTTCCTGTCTCAGCCTCCTGTGGGCTGGGATTATGGGCGTGCGCCACCACACCTGGTTTCAGTGGCCCCCACAGATCAGGGCCAGCACAGCCTGCAGTACCAGATGTTAGACCCAGGTCCTTGCACTAGGCAGTGCCTTAGACCTCAGAGCTACTCCCAGGCCCCAGCTTGGGCTTTCTGATCCCACTTGGATGGAGATTTCCGTGCTGTCTTCTCCGTGCACGACTTCTCTCCGTCCCCACATGTTGTACGTGACCTCTGCATTCTTCTCCCCTGTCTGCTGTGCCTGAGACCCTCTGGGCGTAGGTTCTTTGGCCACAGGTACCTAGGGCAATGCAGAGTGCAGGGGTCGCCCATACACAGTGCCTGGCCAGTCGGTGTGTGTCTTTTGGCTTGCTAAGCAAGATCATTGCTAGTACTTTCAAATCATAACATTTCTCCTAAAATACTGACTTCTAACCCAGGGAGGGAAAAAAAATCCCCAAATCCACATTCCTGCCACTGAGCCAGTGGCCAGGCCAAGCAGCGCTACTGCTGTGGATGGCTGTGTCCTTCAGTTTGCCACTGCCCCATGGCTTCCCATGGCCAGGGCCACAGACTGGGTGTCCCTGCTCCCCACAGTGTTTCCATTTTTAAACATTATGCAGTCATGAGCCAAGTGAGTGCATCTCTAGTGGTAAAGTCTCAGGCTCCATCAAGCCACCTAAAAACTTTACTAGACTTTGAAGCCAAGCTTCAATCAAGGGAATTGGCAGTTGTTGCTGTTTTTCCTAAAATCCTGTTTCATACTTTGTCCCACACCCTTGCTGTTTCCTCTGTCTCTCTCTGTCTTTCTCTTGCTCTCGCTCTCGCTCTCTCTCTTGCTCTGTCTCTCATCTCTCTCCTGCAGCATCTTCAGGCACTGAGGAAAGTGAAGTGAGCAGCTGGTGAAGCTGCATATCCCAGGAGCCACACTCTCTGCTTAGCTTTACCTTGGCCCTGAAGTCCTAGTTTGAGACATGCTGGTCTCTTTTGGCACTTAACCCTTCCTCTGTCATCTCACCATCAGACAAGGGACACAGAAGAATGTAATAAATTTTGATCCAGAGCATTTTATGACTTCCTAAGTCTGGTGTATTGATTAAGGACAGTTTTACCCTTCAAGTAAGGGTTGGATACTTTCTGGAGTCTCCAGCACCCAACATCCTCATTCTCCCTCATGCCCTGATGCTGGGCCTCGGGTGATCTGCATTGTAAGGCATCCTTGAGGCTTAATGTGAGAAATCTTTGGAATGCAGGAGTGAAGATCCTTTAATGAGGTCTCTATGGTATTCTGATGCATTCATTAAGTATTCCAACCATAATGGTGTGTTACACAGAACAGGCACAACCTGTTAGATTGTGATCTAACTGAGGAATAAGAACTGGCAAGACCCTAGACCAGACTTCTCATTTCTACTTCTTCATGAAAATTGATGTGGTGGTGCACACCTGTAATCCTAGCACTTGGAAGGCTGAGGCAAGAGGATTACAAGTTTGAGGCCAGCCTGGGCTTTACTGTGAGTGAAGCCCAATCCTGGAACACATAACGAGACCCTGTCTGAGGAGGAGAAGGAAAAAGCCTTTTCATGTTCGGGGGAAAGGAAAATATCATTAAAAACACAAAATTTTACTATCATAAAAGTTACAGGCCTGCTTCAGCAGTATGGTGGATTAGATGCCCGCTTTCACTGTAAGCAACTAAAAATTCTGGCTGAAACTGGAAGGGTTTGGAAAACTCAAAGGACAAAAAGCATGTGACAGTGAAACCCAAAGAGGAAAGTGGAGAGAGCTGAAAGCTTATCATGAAGGCTTTTGCAGAGCTTCACTCTGAAAATTCGTGCGGCCACAGGAACAGGAGAGAAGACCAGGGCCTGTCCAAGGTGTAGGACATCTTTCAGTTGCAGCTGGGAGCCCAAAGGCCCTGAATCTAATGTCAGGTTGATGTTGAAGTATGTACACACACACGGCCGGGGAGATGGCTCAGTAGAATAAGCGCTTGCCTGGCAAGCTCAAGGGCCTGAGTTCAATCCTTGGTTGGGGGCGGGGGGAGTGATGTACACACACACACACACAAAGACATTTACAGGAGACTGCAAGGAAACATTTCTTTTTCAAACCTTAACAACAGAAGAGGCTGGTGGGGGTGGGGGGGAGGTGCGCTCCCTTAATCCCACCACTTGGAAGGTGGAGGCAGGAGGATCACTAAAGTTCAGGGCCGGCCTCGCTTACAAAGTGGGTTCAAGGCCAGCCTGAACTGCATCGTGAGACCCAGTCTCAAAAGGAGAATATTCTAATCTCTTCTCAAATTTGATGACCTAGAAAAGGTGATCCCCAGGAAGATTTGTAGTCTAAATTCACTCTGCCTGGGTAATCCAGAAGCCTCAAGCTAAAGGTCATCATAAGTAAGCAACGCCCTCTGCCAGCCGGTAGAAGTAAGTATATACCTTCTCCGTGGGTGCACCTCCAGCCTAGACCCCCACACCAGAAATGTTTGCAGAGTATGTATGTATTCATGCTTAAAAGTTCTAAGACATACGTGGACATAGCAGACTTTAAGTATACTTAGATAGACAACAGAATCAGACCCATGGAAAAAATCAGGTACTGGGGTGGAATATAATGTAATTAATATTTTGAAATGAAGGATAGAAAATACCAAAAGGAGAAAAGGGCTTTAAAATATGATTAAACTAATATTAAAAATTTAGCCTCACATAGTGACGTGTGCCTATAATCACAGCACTTGAGAAGCTGATGCAGGAGGGTCACCATGAGTTCAAAGCCACCCTGGGCTGATAAATTCAAAGTAAGTCTGAACTGCATAGAAAACTATGACTCAAAAAAAAAAAAAAAATGTTTATATAATCAAGTAGAATTTCTAGAAATGAAAAAGCTGAAAGTAAAAATTTATTGGACATATTTAAGAGTCATTTAAATACATTTGAAAGCACAATAAACAGATCTGCAAAATAGCCTATGTGTAATACTGACAGATTTTTAAATGGAAAATATTAAAATAGGATTTAAAAAATATGGAAACTAGATGGAAAATGCCTAACGTGGTATCCAGAATCCCAAAAAAGGCAAATAAGAAGCAATATGATAAAAGAGAAAATCAAATTTGAGAACTGAAGAAGGACCCAGCCACAGATTCCAGAACTTCCGTGGCATAAAGCAAAAAGAAATACACACCTGGGTATATCCAGATGTACTGCTTAGCCATGAAGACAAAAAAAGATCTTGGCATTCAGAGAAAAAGATACATTGACTTCAAAGAACTGAACAGAAGTGAGAAACTGAGCAGAACTGAACTTGTCATCGTGCCAGAAAAAGTAACCACAGAATCCCATATCTGGCAAAATTCTCTCAAGTCTAAGTGGAAAATAAAGACATCTCAGACACACAGACACGTTTACCCTCAAAAGACCTTAAAGGAAAAGGCCAACTATTTTCTCTAGGCAGATAGAAAAACAATCCAGGTGACAGAACCGAGATTTAATCAGAAATGAAGAACAAATACCCAAGTAAATAGGTAGGGACACAGCTTCTGTGAAATAACAGTAATTCTTCTTAGTAGATTACAAGGTTTGGGGGCCAGGGAGATGGCTCATTAGAATAAGTGCTTGCCTGGCAAGCACAAGGGCCTGAGTTCAATCCCCAGTTCAAAAAAAAAAAAAAAATTATAAGGTTTGGGAGGGGCTGGAGAGATGGCTCAGTGGTCTAAAGCACCTACTTGGAACAAGCTTGGCAAAGCACAGGGACCGCGGTTCAATCCCCCAGCACCACATGCCAGCCAGCCCCGCCCCCTGGTGGGCTGAGCTGGCCACACACACACACACACACACACACACACACACACACAACAAATGTTAAAATAAAAAATAAAAATTAAGACATATTGGTTAAAAAAAAAAAAAAAGGTTTGGGAGAATTAAAGAAATGCATGACAGAAGCACACATCAGTGGGCTAATACTGCTGTGGGTTCCAAACGCTTGGTAATTGCCAGGAAAAAGAGAAAGAAAGGCATTGTTTTCACGTTATTTCAGCTCTGTGTGCTAAATTTCTGAGTAACCTTCAAAAGTAGAAATAAGTCAGGTGACGTCCAAACTCATAGAAAAATAATCATGGGGGAAAATCCATACAGAAGAGAAAAAAACTCAAGGAAAGGACAGGACAAATGTCACAAAATGACACGAGAGAATAATGTTACTCTAGCAGTATTTTAGACATTACAATAAGTCGAAATAAATTGGATGGTTACAAACGCTCTATCTAAAGCACACAGATAAAGATTGGAATATATAAGGCAAAGTATGACAAAACCAGTGCAGTAACATTAACGAAAGCTTCCGTTCCCTCAGGAGGCAAAGTGATTCCTAATCTGTGCAATCCTAGTAGTAGTGCCTCATTGGCAGAGCTATACAGAGAAATAGACGAGATCTGCAGTCAGATTGAGACCTTTTTGTATATTCTTAATATATATTCTTAGTAACTGATAGGTCAGCCAGACAAATCAGCCAAGAAATAGACCTGAGCAGAATAATTTTATTTAAATGATAAACTACTATCCCCCCAAATTGGACCATTAATGGCACCTGACCACAAACTGAGCCATAAAGGACATCTCAGCAGATGTGCTAGGAGTCATGGGAGTAGTGCCTGTGCATTGTGTGAACCTTGGTAAATCCAGAAGAGTCTAAGGAAGCAAGCCCCAAGTCCCTCACGATTCTACCACGCCAGGGTTATTACTGTTTGCTGTTCCCTTGCACACTTACTCTGCGTCTCTGTCTCTGTCTGTGTCTCTAACTTGAAGTGATTCTCCTGCCTCAGCCTTCCAAGTGCATCTACCACCACTCCCAGCTCTATATTGTTTTAAAATAGGAAATCTCACAGTAGCATGGTGTTATATATCTTTCACTTAGGTTTTCATGTCACTAACAATGCCTTGTAGCTTTTCTGTCAACTACAGATTGTTCCATCACGTGGCTATGCTATCACGACCTCATGTTCTTATCATTGAATATTATTAGGTTATTTTCAGTTTTCTGAGACTGTCAACAGACCTCTAATGCACGTCACGTTATTACAAGCACTTTTCATCCAAGGACCTCCATGCACTTCAAATCATCTCATTTGCTCTCTGGTCAGTGAAACAATAAAGGCATTTTTATTCTTTTGGACCAGTGATTCATCTTCACTTCTGACCAATGTATTGTCTCAAAACATTTCTCCCCACCAAGACAGTATTCAGCCTGCTCTGGTGCCTGCACTGCAGCTAGGACCATCTTTATCACAGACCCAAGCAAAACAGTGTTACAGAGACATCCTGGCTCAGCCTGGGGCAAACTCAATCATGGTCTTAACCATCCAGCAGAAAAGTGTAAAAACAAAGTATAAAAAGTAAAGCCATATTAATATGCTGAGCTACAAAAGGCTCGTCAACAACTTCTGACATTGCCAATCCTATGGATAACCCACTACTATTATGGCTACTGGACTATATTAGATTATTTTGCTGAATTCACGCACCTACAATATTTAAATGGCAATGGAATACCCATCTCTGACAAAACTAAATAAAAAAAGGAGATACAAATGAAGGACCATTTTGTATCTGTATATATAAAACAGGATAGATATACAGCTACTTTCTCAATTCAATGAGAAGAAAGATTGTACTAATAGTGTTTGGACAGGATATCATGTCTGCATCTTGTACTATGAATAACCACTACGAAGACAATATGCAGTGTATTAATTATTAAAACTGTCCTAATCAATTTTGAGACTGTCTCATTGATATTTGTTTCTCAATAAAAGAAAGAAAGAGAAGAAAAGGAAAGAAAGAAAGAAAAATAGAGGCTCTACATGGCTTTGGTAATGAACAAATGCCTTGATATCCGTTTCATCATGATGAGAATGGGGCAACAAAACTTGTTGGTGTCAGGGAAGGCCAAATAGCTCAGCAGATTAAAGCGCCTGCTTAGGCAGACTCAGGGGCTAGGGGGTTTGATCCCTGGGCCTGCCTGTGCTGGCTCCGCCCTCAGGGAGACTGAGACTGGGCGTGGTGGCGTTCGCCTGGTAATCCCAGAATTTGGGAGGCTGTAAACAGGAGGATCATTAGGAGTCTAATCTGTGTAGTGAAACCTTTTAGACCCTGTACTAAATACATTATAAAAAACAACTTGGTGTCATGTCTGCCATTTGATCTCCTGTCCTACTATGATTCACCGCAATTATCTGTTCATAAAAGCATTAGTTCACTTCTAGGGAAAGAGTCTATCCTCTGTAATGTGCCTCTTCCTTCCTGAATCCAATCCCCTACACCTCTCTCTCCTCCTGTGTCTTCTCCCCCAAATAGCTGTAAGTGTAAAAGAGAACGGAGGTGCGTAAACACGGTGACCACTATAATCGACAGTGTGTCACTTTCTCAGCTCCGGACTCTACTGGGGTCACGAAGGCAGTTTCCACACAGTGAGCACATGTGGCTGTGAAATGTATCCCAGATCGAGAATATTCCGACGGGCTTTGCGTCCTCGGGCATTTCTCTTCACTCTGATTTGGTGCCCGTTTCTGATGGCCTCGCTACACCTCACCCCAGGCAGGCAGCAGGGACACCACTGCTCCGAAGAGCCCCATCTCTCTTGCTTTGCAATCCCCTAAGGACAGAAGGGTCCTAAAGATAACCTCCCTTCCCCCTTTACGGGGAGCAGGTAGCTGGCTAATAGCAGTAGTGAAATCTGCACAGAGCAGCACGTTCTACCTGAGCGCGCCTAGAGACTCTACTGTTTCACTGCTAGGAAAGATGAGGCAGAGCTAGGTGGTGACTTGCCCGGGGTCATACAGTAAGTTAAGTGCTGGAGCTCGGATTTGAACACAGAGCTGTGACTTTAACTTTCTCTAAAGAAATCGGATGCCAGTGTACTTTCCTCATCCACTCAGCCAAGACATATAAACGGGGCACCAGCTATGTGCTGGACCATGCTGGTGCTGGGCTCCAAAACTTGTAACTTAGAGGAGGAATTCAGTAAGAAAGCATGCAGCACTGTGAGATTGGAGCTGCTGGGTATGGGAGACCTTCCAGGTACCCCTGGAAGCAGACCAGTGGGCATCCTTGAGGCACCACGACAACTGGGCCCCGGGTCTTATGACGCCCCACCCCCACCCTCAGCAACCGCTTGTTGGCCAAGATGCGCGTTACAGACCCAGAGAGGTGGCGACTTACCTCCCTTGGTGCCGGCGGCTGCCCTGGAGCGTGATTTGAACTGGGATGCTGAAGGGCTGCATGAGACCAAGCCTGGGCGAAGAGGGCTCCTCTCACCTGTGTCATGCCCCCGAGGGCGTCAGAGCGGAAGGCACAAGCACCAACGTGAGTGGTGCCCCAGAGAGACCCCCCAGCCCCCGGCACGGTGACGCCCAGGGGGAGCAAGTCCAGAACTGCCAGCCTCTAGAAACTTTCCTGGAGGTAGGAGCTCGGGGCAGCCTGGCCCAGCTAGCTCTGGATTCCTGGCCAAGTGGACCAGCCCATCGCAAGGGCTCAAGAACTTGTGGTTCTCTGGAACCGAAGCTTCTCTCCTGTGGTTGTCCTGTGCCTGCCACCACCTTATCACTTGTTTCCACTTCAGCAGGCAGGTGCATCGTCATAGAGACCTCAGCGCTGTGGAAAGTTCTGAGACCCAAGGGACCCCCTATAATTGTTTTGGGACATAGTCGGTACCAGGTATTACAAGAAGAGGAAATGTTTTGCCCAGGCTAGATTTCCCTTTTCACAGATTGTTGGAGTATGGTCACAAAGAACAGTTTTCTCTGGTTAATTGCATGTTCTAATTTAAAAGATTAACTTATATGTGATTTCCCAAATTTTCAAAGTTTATAGGGTAATAAATTACTCACCATTAAAATTATCTCAAAGTATTATTTAAATGTATCAGATATAATTTTGATAACTTAAAGGACAGTTGGCAATCTTTACTGCTAAGTTATAAACATTAATTACCATAATATAATATTGTAGTTTATGCAAAGAATATGACAGAATGTACTAAGTTTTTGCTGTGCTTTTTAACCAAGGTAAGGCTATCTTACCGTTTTCCAAAGTGTTGGCGTAAACGTACATGTGAGCATAATCTCATCTATCAATACTGTATAGCTATATAAATCGTTACTTGTAGTATTTGAAAATATATATTTGTACATTCCTGATTTACATTATTATTCAGTTGGAATCATGGACTCAATCTCAGATCAAATATTTGTTCTTAGTGAACTGAATTGATAATAAATCTGGTGATACCAGTAGATTTTCCTCCTGCTTCCTATTTCCGCCTTAGCCTTATAAATATAGGATACTTTTTCCTTCTTAGATTTATCTGTGCTAATAAATTACTTCTGCAACTTAGAACTTAGCTCTTTGAAGAAGTGAATGATTTGCTGCTACTTTCATGCATTTGATTCAGCCTCAGAAGTGTGATTTTTGCAGCCCATGAGATGTTTAGGGAGTTTCCCAGGCTGGACTCGAATCCTGGCTCCCACCACTCACCCTCATCTCAGCCTCCGGGTAGCTGAGAAATCACCTGTGCTCCACCAACCTGGGCAACCCTGTCTGCACCAGGAGCTTACATCTGCCTCCACAGGACCTCCCAGCCATCTCCAGTGTATCATTCCTGTTGCCTTTAAGAGAAAATACACATGCATAATCTTGAAAACTTCATCTTTAAGTTGCAAGAAAAGAAAGTGGGTCTAATTACTTTTAGTCCTACCTAATAGTTTGGGTAGCTCTGTTTCAGTTCCTAGCAAGTGTGGGCCTGCTTATGTCTTGGGTGGAGCTGTCACAATCAGCCGTCTGACTTCTAGATCTACCTGGAGCTTGCTTCTCTTTCCCTCTGTGTGTGTGTGTGTGTGTGTGTGTGTGTGTGTGTGTGTGTGTGTTTTGGTTTGGTTTGGTTTTGGTTTTGGTTTTGGTTTTGGTTTGTTGAGATGGGGTCTTACTATGTAGTTCGGGCTAGTACTGAACTCACTATGTAGCCCATGCTCACCGAGAACTTACAGTGATCCTCCTGCCCCAGCCTCCTGAGTTCTGGGATTACAAGCATTCACCACCGTACCTGGCTTACCCTTTTCCTTTTTAAGTAGAACCAAGACAGTAATGAAATATATAGTTACATTCTCTTAATGAATAAAGCGGTTTGTTCTGATGGTGTATGTAAATAGAGTATCATGTCCGCATCTTGTACAGCAACTAACCACTAGGAAGAATGTATGCAATGTGTGAATTATTGAAACTGTCCTACCAATTTGATTTGAAACTGTCTCATTGCTATTTGTTTCTCAATAAAATTATGGGGAAAAAAAGACAGTAATGAGAAAAGTAATGTCGCTTTTCCCCTTTGGTAGTTTCTTTCTTTCTTTCTTTCTTTCTTTCTTTCTTTCTTTCTTTCTTTTTTTTTCTCTTTCTTTTTTTTCCTTCTTTTTTTGTATTTTAGGGAAGGATCTATAGGATGTTCAGGGTCTCACTACTAGATCGAACTCATAGTGATCTGCCTGTTTACAGCCTCCCAAGAGCTGGGATTACAGACACACACCACCACACCCAGTCTCAATTGCTGTCTCACCATGCCCCAGGGATGGGGCCAGCATGGAAGCCCCCCCACACACACACCTGCTTGCAGGCACTTTAATCATCAGAGCTATTTGGCTGGCCCCCTTTGATACTGTAGGTAACTGGCTGGCATTCTGTTCACTAACAGCTACTACCATTTCACCTGCTCACCCACTCCTCCCATTGCATCACAAATTCTCCATTCTGAACTTCTGATTCAACCTTGTTTCAGGACGAACCCAGAGTTGGTAGAAGTGAGTTGCAAGCCTATGTGTCCATCTGGAGATTCGGGCAAGTCTAAGCCGGATGCAGTGTGGGGATGGGTGCTGCCAGGTGCTGCACATCAGGCCCTCTGTGTCCCAAGCCTTCTGAGACCCTGGCTCATCCCTTCTTCTGAGTTAGTCACTTTCTGCTCCATGAAACAGTAGCCACCGGTGTGGTGGCACACTTCTATAATTGCAGCACTCATATGGCTGAGGCAGGAGTATCTGTTTGTGTTCAAGGCCAGCCTGGGCTGTGTAGCAAGACCTTGTCTCAAAACACAAACAGACAACAATAAGAACAACAACAATCATAAAGATGAATTACCTGTCAACCCACCATGTGTTGTGTCCCCTCCTTGTTGACCCAAAGACTCTGGAAACTGAGTTCAAATGCTATCTTTGTAGCCTTAAGTAACCATTTAAAAATTCCCTGCCCTGGTTGTCCTCAGTGAAAAAGGAGAAAATAAAAGCTTAGTGTGAGCTGCATGAGTATATAAGGCTCAGTGTCCATAAACTGTTACGAGATCTCTGTATGAAAGAGGCTATTACTACAGAACGCTGGCACTGTGGATTCCCGGTTCTGTAGCTGCAGTACTTCTTTTGCATTTAATAGATGATTTACCCCCAGAAGAAAAAGATCATTTTCTCCATTTCACCATGTGAAAAAAACGACCTTCTTGTTATTTCTTTCCCTCTTGTTACAACTAAGAATTATTGTGAGGCTGATAGGCTCTATGCTCATGAGAACTGCACCTGTGTCCCCGAGTTTAGTGATGAACAGGTCATTCACAGCACCCTGAGAAGCGTACAACAGCTTCGGGCCTTGTGTGTCTGTGTGGTAGGGGGATACATAAGCCCCTGACTGAGCAGTCTTCTGAGTTAGGGCATTTTTGCTGATGCAAACAATGGTCAAAGTAAAGGCATACCTGATCGTATACCCTCTGTGCAGGAAAACAAGGAAATATGGCCTGTGCCACACGCTGTAGGACTTTTACGTGGGACCTTGGCTCCAGTTGGCCTTGCTAGTTAAGTGGGCTCTTGACCCTGTGAGCTAAACTCTGTCTGAAAAAGCAGCATCACTTCTCTGCGGGTGTTGTCCTCCTCTGAATAATACTACTGTGCTGGCTAACATTTGCTGAGCATTTAGTGAGAAGCAGCACCACTTGGAGGAAATATATAGCTGTTCACTTTTTCATGGGATTTTTTTTTTTTTTTCAGACAGGGTCTTATCATGTTGCCCAGGCTGGCCTTGAACTCATGGTGATCCTCCTGACTCAGTCTCCCAGGTGCTAGAATTACAGGTGTGTGCCACCACACCCTCTGTTGTGGGACATGTTGAAGAGCAGAGAGCTCAACTGACTCAGAAGAACAACAATATTGGGCCTATCCTGGCATGCAGACAATGAAATGAATAAAGAAAAAACTAATAAAAGGATAGCAGAAATTGTTAAGCAGTTTAGCAGCCCCCATTGATGGGCTTGTTTAAGATCCACAGTGATCAAGGCTTCCCCAGGCAGCACTGGAAACAGACATAATACTGTAAGTCAAGGTCATTATTCACTACATAAATTGTACTCCAATTCAAGTGGGACTTTCTATTTTAAGGAAAGATTTCCAATCCCTGTCTCTGCTGATTTTAGTGAAATAATTTGGGTGCAGAGCCCAAGAGCCCTGCTTCTCAAAGGCTCTTCATTCAGGTGGGCCTTGGGTCACACCTCGGGAAACACTGCTACATTGTGCATTCAAAGCAGGGCTTGGGAACATAAACACCTTGCTGGTCCCAGCCATGGCCACCTCCCTGGCACTAGCTTACTCCTGTAGGCAGTGTGGGACTTGGCGTGGGTGACTCGATGTGCCATCAAGAGCTATGGCTAAGGTCCAGCAGTAGACAAAGCCATAAGTTTGTGTGCAAGGACTAGGTATCTTCTCTCCTGGAGTTACGGTGGTGCCAGAACACCCACCTGCCACTGAGGAGTCTTCTCGGCTAAAAGGAAAGAAGAAAATCCAGCCACTGCAGCCTCTCCCTGTGTATAGGCATTGCACTCAGTGTTCAGTGCTGAGTGCTAAGTACTCATGTTCAGTGCTTTGTGATCAGAGCTCAGTACTCAGTACTCAGTGCTCAATGGTAAGTGCTAGTGCTCAGTGATCAGTACTGAGTGCTCAGTGCTCTGGGAATATTTTATCCTGGTTATTAACCCAAGAGATGTGTCTCATAGAATTATTAATATTGTCTTTTCAATCTGCTGGAATTTGATTAACCATGACACCCTCTTTCCATGCAAAAATAATTATTATAACACAGAACAAACATTCCTTAAAGTATGTTTTGGATGTTGAGTTTTGTCAAATGTCCCATATTTGATCTATTGGGGCCTGCTGGTTAGCTCAGTTGCTCAAGAGCCTGCTCATGCAAACGCAGTCAGGTG